AATTAAACAATTTTTCTGCGATTGGCCCCAAGGAAATTCCAGATATTAATGAACCTGTTTCCCCCCTTGTGTTTTCATGAACTCTGTTTTCCTGGAGGTGTAATAATTTCTAAGATTACGGTCCAACCAACTATGTTTTACCCATTTCAGCAGCGGAGTTAAACTTTTGGACAGACCAAAATCCAGCGTCATTAAGTCATGTGAGAAATGGAGACAACTGTACGTGATTCAGTTGGTGGCATTGCCCAAATTAGCATTTTAAACACCTCTTACTTTTGGCTTGATGATGTGGCGCACATGGAAAGCGAAACCAAAAGCGAAACTGTCCCGATTTTGTGGATATTTGGTTTTTTGGCTGGCCAACACCAGCGATTCTTGCCACTCCGGCATATTCATTCGTCCTGCCATCTGCCAAGCAACGCGTGTGCGGCCATTTATGGCCGGGTGAGTTGGCAACATTTTGGCTATCAGCGGACAACCAAATCGAAATCGAAGTCGTACGAGAGACTTTTGGCTTCCTCACTTTATATGGCTGGGCAGAAACTTTCAATTAACACAAGTCGCATCCTCAGTCGAAGCTCGGGGCCAAGCGTTTCGTTTTTCACGCTCCATGACCAAGTTTGGGTTTGGTTTTGGCCAACGGGCCAGCGAAACCAAAGACCAAACACCAGGCCACATTAATTGCCGAACGGATCGGGACAGGATTTGTGCGGTCTGCGTTATTAACACCAAATTAATCAAAACAAGCGTTTGACAGCTGAGTGATTTGTGCCCGCTCCGTCCGAAATTGTGAATTAAACTTTGGCGCCACAGCCCCGTCGCTTTAGTTTGGCTTGGCTTGGATTTTTCTAATTATGCCGCCGCCAGGTTGCTAAAACCCTGGGCCCACTCCCACTTCTCGAACTCGCATACTCGTTTATGGACAACAGCCGCCGGTTGGCAAGTGGAAATCTCGTTAAAGACCAACTTGAATCGGGTTCGATGCTTGTCGGCTATTTGGCTTTGATCTTTGGCGACTGTGGAAGTCGCTTGCAAACGCGTGCCGCCGGCAAACAGCAACATTTTGCAGTCGCGATCATGGAAGTTTTGTATTCAACTGTACAGTCAAGCTTTCCTAATGAAAAATTCCATTTTGTTAGATTTAAAAATTAGATACATTTCCAATAATTTTAATTGTCAGCCTCAAATAAAAGTGTATTTTAAAATAATAAATGGTGGACAATATTTAAACTTTTTGAAAAATAATTATTTAAGTGTCTTGCATTCCTTTTTTGATGCTTGACTGTGTTTGACATTTTAAATGCTCACAGAAAAATACAATACAATAAAGTCTTAAAATTTAATACAAAACAAGAAAGGAAAGCTAACTTCGGACGGAGCCGAAGTTGATATACCCTTGCAGAATATTCTGTAAATTATATTCTTCAAAATTATTCATATATTCATATATTCTTAATACTTATAAAAAGACCTAACTTCCTAACTTTAAAAACACCAAAGTTATGGCATTTCCAATCGTTCAGTTATATGGCAGCTATAGGATATAGTCGGCCGATCCTTATGAAATTTGGTAGGTCGGATTGATTGGCCAAAAATAAAACCCATAGAAAATCCCAACTTGATAACTTTACAAACACCAAAGTTATGGCATTTCCGATCAATCAATTATATGGCGGCTATAGGATATAGTCGTCCGATCCTTATGAAATTCGGTAGGTCGGATTAATTGGCCAAAAATAAAACTCATAGAAAATCCCAACTTCCTAACTTTAAAAACACCAAAGTTATGGCATTTCCGATCGTTCAGTTATATGGCAGCTATATGATATAGTGGCCCGATCCGGCTCGTTCCGACTTATATACTACCTGCAATAGAAAGACAACTTTTGGGAAAGTTTCAAGCAGATAGCTTTAAAACTGAGGGACTAGTTTGCGTAGAAACGGACGGACGGACAGACGGACAGACGGACATGGCTAGATCGACTCTCCTGGTGATGCTGATCAAGAATATATATACTTTATAGGGTCGGAAATGTCTCCTTCACTGCGTTGCAAACTTTTGACTGAAATTATAATACCCTCTGCAAGGGTATAAAAAATTAAGTTGCTAACTGCAGAACTTATGGCTGTTGGTTAATATGAATAAATGTCTAAAGTGAGTGCAGTTTGTTAACGAAATCCGATGGCTAGGAAGCCATGTTAAACTTTATCTATCCGACTCTGGCTCTGCTTTTAGTCATAGTCGTACTTAGACGTTAGACTTGGTGGGGTATTCCTATTTGTAACTTGTTTCACATATATTTATAATAAGAGTGTCTGACAAAAGTAGCGTATGTGTGACTGGGGACAAACTGTTTAAACAAATTTGTGCCAAAAATAAATTTCGATGTTTCAGGTATAACAAGTGTATTTGTATACGAACACATTTTAATATGTTGAAAAGCGGCTTTGTTAAATGTTTGAATTTGCAGGTGTACGAAAAAATATAATAAACCAGCACACTTGTAACGATAAATGTTTAAATACAGTGCGGTGTTAAGTCAGTCTGTTAATAAACTTCGAAGGCTAACAAGCCATGTTTAACATATTCCATCCGATTCTGAAATGGCTTTGCTTTTTCGTCATAGTCGTAATTGTGATTCTTAATCTGATAAATCAAAGTACCAATCCCAACTTGATAACTTTACAAACACCAAAGTTATGGCATTTCCGATCAATCAATTATATGGCGGCTATAGGATATAGTCGTCCGATCCTTATGAAATTCGGTAGGTCGGATTAATTGGCCAAAAATAAAACTCATAGAAAATCCCAACTTCCTAACTTTAAAAACACCAAAGTTATGGCATTTCCGATCGTTCAGTTATATGGCAGCTATATGATATAGTGGCCCGATCCGGCTCGTTCCGACTTATATACTACCTGCAATAGAAAGACAACTTTTGGGAAAGTTTCAAGCAGATAGCTTTAAAACTGAGGGACTAGTTTGCGTAGAAACGGACGGACGGACAGACGGACAGACGGACAGACGGACGGACAGACGGACAGACGGACGGACAGACGGACATGGCTAGATCGACTCTCCTGGTGATGCTGATCAAGAATATATATACTTTATAGGGTCGGAAATGTCTCCTTCACTGCGTTGCAAACTTTTGACTGAAATTATAATACCCTCTGCAAGGGTATAAAAAAATATATTAAGCAAAAATAATATAAAATTATATTTGTTAAAGAAACCTAAAATAATTTCAATTACCAAAATATTTTGTTTAAGAAAATTTAAGATTAAGCTGTATCCTTATTTTAAATTAAGTCCTTATTTTCTGAGTGGCTGTATATGCCATGCCACATTAGCGACCACCACGCCCATAAATCTTCAGCGGCAAATTGAAACCGCTGATTGAGTAAATGAGTGAATGAATGAGTGATTGAATAGGCGGACAACTGAGTAAATGATTGTGAGCGACTGAGCGGCGAAGAGCAATGCATGTGATTAAAAAAGCGTTGCCATAATTTGGCTTTAATTGGCATGACGCGTCGCGTGCTGCCGTCGTTATAGCTGTAGCTATATAGCCTGGAATCGAGCGGAACTCGGTGGGTGTTGTTGTGCCACATATTAAGCAAACATGAGCATAATGGCAATTTACACACAAGCACACCCGGCCACAAGCGCATACATTCGCAAGTGTGTGTGTGCCGAAGCCCAATTAACATGACATGTCGTACGCGTTGGCCTGATTGGGACTGAGAATTAAATTCCAGTGCGGGTGGGGGGGTGTTGACCGATCAAGGGGACACAATCTCGCGGTCTCGGGATACTCGGCGATTGCATTAACCACAAAACTCCGTTCGAAGCTGCAGGTGGAAAGACAGAAATTTAAAAGGGGTCATAACTGCACGAAGAGTACCCTATTAAAATTATAAAATATATTTCATGAAATAATATATTTTTATGGTTGCCTGAACATGTATGGTTTATGAGCGTGAAATATAAAGAAAAACATTTTAAAACGTCTCAGTAATTTCAGCCATTAAATAACTTTTTTAAATGTGTAATTCTTACAATTAAATATTTTTAAAGAATAAGTTAAGCATTAAAGTTCTTAAAACTTAAGTTCTTATTACTTTCTAGGAATCGTTGAATTACTCGTAGTTAAAAAAATATCATGTATAATTATAGGTTTTTCGAAGTATATCCAAGTCTTCACATCCGTTGGCAAATGTGGCCGCTTGGCGGTTCAAAAATTCTGTGCGTGACAACTGGGAGGAGCTGACGGTGCAGCGAAAGGCGAGGCTATAACTTAGTGACTGCTTTAATTTTAATTATTGCGATTTGTGTGCAAGCTTCCCCTTCCCCAACGATTTCTGGTGGCAGCCTGACTAATTTGCCAGCAACATGACACCAACTTGAGCGGCTCTGAACCGGCTGATTAAGTCGAAACACTCAACCTGGGGTTGCCGCAGTTGTTGGTGTTGATGTTGCTGTTGTTGATGTTGCTGCTGCCGATGTTGCTGCTGTTGCTGTTGCTGCTGCACATGGCCGTCGTTTTGGTTTTTGGCATGCGCTGCGTTAATTAAGCTGCAGTGGCGCTGGAGTCGTGAACGCAGCTGCGTGTCTGGTAATCTCCGCGGATTAAGCCGACACTCTGCTCCAAGAGTCATGTTGCTCTTTGCAGGCTTGTTAACAATATTTCCACTTGTTCGGACTGACTGGCTGGCATCAAACACGCGGCCAGCGGTCAAGTGTCGCCCAGAAGTCACCAAGGAGCACTTAAACTCACTCACGCAAGGAAACACTCAAATATTAGTCTCTTGTTGCCACGAAAACGTAAAATAATAAAAGAAAAATTAAGTTTGCATTAATAGAAAATTTAACTACAAACTTATTGGATAGCAGAAGTACAAATAGTACAAATATTGTATTGAATCTTCTTAGAGTACACCGTCTCGAAATTTGTTTTCAGAATGCCACGTTTTATTTTAAGGGACCATGTTAATTTAAGTCAAAGGTTTTATTTATAACTGTTATTAATTTAAAACTTTTGATTTTTGAAGTGACGACCGAAATATTATTTAAAATTCGACGGCTTCTTGGATAAGTCTTTCGGTGCCAGCTGAACTTTCCACGGATCCAAGAACATATTTTCCAATGCTGGCCAAGCCGTTTGCCTAATATTTGAGTATGGAAAGAGGTAAGTTTAAGAAACGCATATTTGATTGTTGAGACAGACCTTGCAACGCTTGATGAGCTCGTTTTGAGCATGATTAATCTGCTCCTTCTTGCCACCCCAAGTCCTTAGAATCGAGGTCTGAAGTGCTCGATCGAAGGCGAAGCTCATGGCCCAGGGCTTACATAGCGGTACGTTGTTGATGGCATTCAAATGGACGGTGGCCTCCTCCTCCGATTGGGCGCCGGAACAGAAGAGAATTCCTGGCAATAAAAAACGATACATAAATTAGGGAGTACCGAATTGTATTAAAAAGATCCTACCCATAACCGCTGGAGGAACTGTTCGTCTGATAGAGAGGACAGTGGCCAATCCGATATCTGCTGCTGGATGATTCTTGTTGCTCTGAAGACCGGGCATTACCATACTGGGCTGCAGAAGAGTTCCCTCCAGGAAGACGTGGTGATCGCTGAGGGCCTTATAGACGCCGGCCAGGAGAATTTCGTTGACTTTTTGACACCGATCCAAATCATGATCACCGGTGGGCAGGACCTCGGGACTGATGATCGGCACTAAACGCTGCGATTGGCAGATGGCCGCATAACGGGCCATGACATTCGCATTTTCCAAAATGGCCTGCGGCGAAGGGGTGTTCTTGGTGATCTTCAGGATGCACCGCCACTTGGCGAAGCTGCAACCCTCCTTCTTGTACATGGCACATCGATTGGCCAGATCATCCAGTCCCTGGGTGGTGAACTCCTCCTCGGAACCAAAGAGTGGTGAGAAATGTTTGTCCACCTTGATCCCCGACAGAATGCCCTTCTTCCTCAGGGTCTCCACAAATGGCAGCCCGTCATCCGTGCGCTGGTGCAATGTTTCGTGGTATAATATCACTCCGGATATGTTCTCCGATATCTTGGGATCGGTGGTAAACAGCATTTGCCTATATATCCTGCGATTTTCCTCTGTGTTTTCTACCCCGATGAGCTGAAATCGCTTGCCCATCACTGCACTGGACTCGTCGGCCGCCAGGACACCTTTTCCAGGTGCCACCAAGGCCTTCGATATGCATGTCAGCTCCTCCTGCAGCTCCTTGTTCGGATAGTAGAAATGCGTCGTCATTCCGGTAAACCCAAAATTTTAGCTAGTCGAACGTTTTTTTTAAGGAGCGGGGTAAGGTATTGAAGGGGAATTCCGAAATATCAAAATGTGTGAGAGGTAAGTCATGGAAATTGAAAAAAATAATTTTCATCGATTTTCATCAGTGTTTAAACTATTAAAATATTTGGGGAGAAATCATTAAATTGAGTAAAAGAATTGTTGATGTCAGCATTTTCATCGATTGCATCGTTGCAGAATGCATCGTAAAATGGATATTAGCCCATTTTATTAAAAAAATAAATGTTTCGCAAATACAAATACTAAAACTTAAAAGTTTCAGCAAAACAGTCGCTCAGTTCAAAATTAATACATTCCAAAAGTCATTTTGAAAATATGCCATCTTTATACCCTTGCAGAGGGTATTATAATTTCAGTCAAAAGTTTGCAACGCAGTGAAGGAGACATTTCCGACCCTATAAAGTATATATATTCTTGATCAGCATCACCAGGAGAGTCGATCTAGCCATGTCCGTCTGTCCGTCCGTCTGTCCGTCTGTCCGTCCGTCTGTCCGTCTGTCCGTCCGTCCGTCCGTCCGTTTCTACGCAAACTAGTCCCTCAGTTTTAAAGCTATCTGCTTGAAACTTTCCCAAAAGTTGTCTTTCTATTGCAGGTAGTATATAAGTCGGAACGAGCCGGATCGGGCCACTATATCATATAGCTGCCATATAACTGAACGATCGGAAATGCCATAACTTTGGTGTTTTTAAAGTTAGGAAGTTGGGATTTTCTATGAGTTTTATTTTTGGCCAATTAATCCGACCTACCGAATTTCATAAGGATCGGACGACTATATCCTATAGCCGCCATATAATTGATTGATCGGAAATGCCATAACTTTGGTGTTTGTAAAGTTATCAAGTTGGGATTTTCTATGGGTTTTATTTTTGGCCAATCAATCCGACCTACCAAATTTCATAAGGATCGGCCGACTATATCCTATAGCTGCCATATAACTGAACGATTGGAAATGCCATAACTTTGGTGTTTTTAAAGTTAGGAAGTTAGGTCTTTTTATAAGTATTAAGAATATATGAATATATGAATAATTTTGAAGAATATAATTTACAGAATATTCTGCAAGGGTATATCAACTTCGGCTCCGTCCGAAGTTAGCTTTCCTTTCTTGTTTTTAATGACAAATTATTCAGATATTTTTTAACTGGACCAAACTTTTTAATGTATTGCGATACTCGACTATTACCTGACCATTTAGCACATGCCTCTAATGACATTATAATTAGACTTTTAATTGCTTTGGCAGAGTGTGGGATTCAAACTTCAGAGAGATTAAAAGGGAAGATTAACCGAAAGAAGAATAAACTTGCCCCACATTAATTATATCTGACCGCACCGACAATTTTGCGTTTTATGAGTTTCACTTTGGACATTTTATGGCAAAAGTTTTGTTAACACAAATTATAAGCGGAAGCGCCGCGCAGTGTCATAAAAGAGGCGATACAAAGTGGAATAAAAGGTGATGTTAAATTTTCGGACCATTTGCAGAGCGTAAATTGAATTCTCCAATTTTCTCTTGCAATTATCTAAAAGACCTCGGAGTCCCCGCCAACTCAATTGAACTCGGCTCGATTCGACGACTAATTCTAATTGGCGTGGGAAACGCATCGAGTGCTCCAAAAGCTCTAAAAGGTTCGCTGGCTAGACAGTTGCCTAATTTTGTGTAAATTATCGCACGAATTATGAGTCTCGTACGTGAAATTTTCCGAAAATAGCCAAGACAGCAAAATACATCGAAAAATTAAGTACGATAAATATCAAACAACACGGCCAGCATCCAACAATTGCATCGCATTTTGGATTGTGTGTTTTTTCCGATCCGATCCGACACCGTCATCAATATTCAAGTTTAGATCCCCCAATTAGGCCAGAGGCAAGACGCCGGATCGAGTCCGCCGAGCCTAATCGCAAAGCCAATAAATATGATCAACTGCGAAAATCCTCAACTCCGGGCCGAGCACAGCCAGCCGAGATGTCTTTGCACCTAATTGAGCGTGGAGCGGCTGAGTCAGCCGGCCAGTAGCCACCAGTAACTGGCAAAGTGACTTGAAAATTATTAATTGATTATCTATAAACGTTTTAATTGAAAACTGCAAAGAAACCTAATTGATCCAACGCAATTTGAATGCTCTATGGGTGGGAAAATGTTGATTAAATAATATTTGCATTTCGTACAAGCAAGCGATACATTTTTTTTAATACCATTTTTTTTAATTTGTATGTATATTTTCCTAACTCTTTTTTTTCTTGTTTGTGTAACGACGGTATTTAAAATATTATGGTTTTATTGTTATGAGCTTTAAAATTGTATCCGTTTTATTTTCTCTTAGGTATTTAGGTGTTTAAAATATTTGTGTTTAATTTGAGTGGGTCTAGACATTTAAAAGCACGAAACTATTTGCCTCTATGTATTAATATTGTATTAATATAACCATTTATCTAAATGAATATCCTTAAACTATAATAGCCTATAGGTCTTTCTTTTCATCAAACTAATTAAAGTCAGTTGAAGAGTTTTATCCAATTATAAAGTTAAGGCAATTGGCTTTTTACTGTCTTTGGCTTTTTCTCCGCTAAGCGATGAACATTACCAATTCGCAATGCCCACAGAATCGGTTAGGGAATTCAATAGACAGCCACTTGGCTCCTGTCTTTTCAATACTAAATTGGCCGCTGGTCAGCGTTTAGTCAGTCAGGCGTAATTATTGTTATTACCAAATTAAGTAGCCAATTTTTCTTCGTTTTTTCCGTCTCTTTATCAGACTAAAGCCACTGTACTGACGACTGTAATCCGCCAACTACTTGGAGTGGTTGTTTTTTCTTTTTGATTTTTTGTGTGCGTGGGGCGCATAAGAAGTGGGCGGGGGGATTTACTCACGCTCTTAGTGCATTTTTTTACGATTTTGGGTTTTCAATTTTGAGCACAAAGTCGTTGTGACCAAAAACCATACGCAGGCATCGTTTTCAAGGAAAATCTCTTCATTTTTAATGTGCTTGCCTCGCATATGTTGCACACACTTTTAGCAAATACAAAAAAGATCAATAAAATAACGAGAGGAAGGCAAGTTGGCCAGCGCTAAATCGACTGAGATTAAATCGAGCGCACATAATCATATTTAGCTTTTTGGCCACGTCGTTCGTGGATGTCAACTGCAGGCCACGGCTGGCTATTGTCGTGGATCGTGCTTCTATATCCACGGACTGCAGTGCTGGCCAAAAACAATGGCCACAGGCGCCACCATCTATGAATTAATCACGTTCATAATTTTGCTATCGTGTTGCGCTCGCTTGTTGTTCATAATTTCTTGTGTTTCTTATTTTGGCCAGGCTTTGTGCTTAATTTGCCTAAAAAAGGATAATAGAGAGAGTCGTCTTTGAAGCCATATTGTTGCATAATTAGGCACACGATAAACACGGGGTGTTTGCATTGGCATTTCTTGGCGCGAAAAGGCTTGTGTGTGGTCATGTTGTAACAAACCATTGTGTTGCAGATTTGCCTCCGCATCTGCATTGTTCGATATGGAAATGAGTTGTTCAGTGGGCTTGGACCAAGATTTATGATTGGGACTTGCATGATTTGGTGGCTTGTAGGTGGCTAACTTTCTGCATAATTTTGATTGCCGGAATCCTTGCTGGAGAAACTCCAAGTGTGGGAAGAACCTTAACATTTTTTCCCGAAATAAAATAAACTGTAATTCTTTGAGTTGGTCTTAAAGACTTCTAAATATTTTACACTGATAAATAGGACATTTGTTTATTATTTGTATTAATTTAAGTTATGTTTAAATTTAATCCTATATGCCGACTAATTTTTGTTTGTTCACAATGGTTAATATTTAGTTTATCAGGTTTGTTTTTATTTTGCCTAAGCTTATCGAATTCTGTCCTCCATAAATTGGAGTTTAGTGCTCCTTTAAAATGTGTGTTCATCAAGACCTCCCATTGGAATTCCAGTCACAGGCAGGACACGTGCCAAACACATATACTTCAATATCTAAATCTTTATAATAATATATACTACGCACTTGTCTACAACATGTCAGACAGCGACTGCTGAAGGCCCATTTGGTGAAATCTTCATTAAATCAACTTCCAGGCGATTGCACAGAGGAGCAAAGTTCATCGCCGTCTTCGTGTGACTTTACGACCCGAAAAAAGTGTGCTTTTGTTTTCGTATTTTCAGTTTTCATTAAAATTTACGGGTTATCGCATAAGTACTTGGGCTGTGAGGTAGGCGGGGCTTTTGCCCAATTTTTACCAATTAACGGCGGCCCAATCTCACGTACATCGGCCATGCGTTTGTCGCGTTTAACGTCCAAAATGGGTGGTTGGCATGTAAAATGGGCAACTTGGGCGGCAGTTTCAATTTCGCGTCGGATTTTTTTATGGGCCCACGGCCTGTGCAGTGTATTTGCCATATCGCGCCCGGCGCATATCAGTCGTTAAAAATGCCTCACATAATTTCGCTTATGTGCGTGCGACATTTAGCACCGACATTGGCTGCAGGATCCGGAGCAGGGGAAGCAGGAATTTGCAGCAGGATCCCGGGGCAGGGACTCGTTTCGGAGGTGGACTTAAGAGGCGTTGGACCCGGCCCAATAACAATTATTTTTAAACTGTTTGCTGAACAAACGGGCGAAAGGGCATCGCCGGAACAGTGGCCATAAATTGCCATAAATAAAACATTTTAAATTCCAGAAAGCGGAAAAAAATTATACAAATAGTCATTAACAAATTTTAATCTTAAAATTTTATGTTAAAAAATATATTTTAGTCTACAAATTTGATGTTACAAAATAAAAATAATTTTTATTATAGGTCGCAAATATTTCGAATAAAATGTTTAAAAAAATAAAAAAAAATGTTCCCTTACAAAAGTGAAAAAAATTGAGATCTATGTATATATAAATTTTTATTTTCAATGGATTTACGGGCATGGTAATGAGCAATCTACCTATATATTTAGGACTTTATTTTATTTTGTACTTCCGAAGCTTGTGTATTTATTAAGATG